CTCATGTACTGGGACACACTAAATCTTCCACAGTGGTTTTATAAAAATAAAAAAAATCGTTACTGTTTTTGATAGCATGGTCAGACATTGATGGTTAAACATGTTTCTAGTGAAAAGAAAAAGTTAAAAAGGCCCACAATCTGAAAATATGAAAATGCATCTTTTCTAAATATCTCAATATGTCTCAAAATAAACATTATGATCTTCAGGTCTAATGCAGAAGACTAAACAAAAAGGCTAAGCTGCTGTGGACTAGATGACTGATCTCAGTGACAAACATGAGAGTCGTGACCTCATTTCTCAAGTGTTAGATTTAAGCAGCCATTATCCAGCCACCTACAGTGGAGGGTAACTTGTCTCTTTACAGTGTCTCTGAAACTCTTGGCATCTCTGAACACCTCTGCAAAGTCAGGCTCTGTTTTTTGCTGTCATGTCCTGAGTCTGCTCAGGTGCTTCAGCAAGCAGATGGTTAGATTATGCATGGCTCCCTATAGTGCAGTGCTGTCTCGGGGCTATATTGTCTTGAAGGTCATTAGTCAAATATTCTTCCGGAAGGATCTGATAGCAATGATGACAGTAAACGCTGAGAGTAATAATACCAAGGTCACAATCAGAATGATCGTTGTGTTGTGCAGGTAATATTTATCAAAACATGATTTGCTATGATAATAATATGTTAAGATCTTGAACTCAGCTGTGGCGACATCCTCTGTGGTTTAGTGCTCTTAAAAAAAAAGTGTAGCGCTGAGTGCCACCTACTGGCTGAAAAATGATACTGACTACCGCAGTAAGATTTTTCCTGAATCTTTGAATTTTCTCTTTAGGTCAAGGAAAATTAGGGCAAAATACACTTATGGAGGAAACATTTAACTTTCTTTATCACTCTGCTGGTTCAAAACAGACTGTTTTGTATATATGTGCATACAATACATCTCCATTGCTCAAACTAATCAGAATGCACATTGTATAGTCAAATTCCCTATGGATCTCTATAGAAACATTCTGATTAGGTATGAGGGCATGTTGCTCCCTGGGGTAATGTGAATTGTGCCTCCTTGACAAACATAAAGACCTATGAAACCCAAATGTACAGCGCGCCGCTTAAGTGTGTGTGTGTGTGTTTAGGTTGTTATAATTAAGAATTATTGTAATAATTATTTTATATTTGCTAGTAATTATATTTATATATTTATTTTTATTTTAATAATTAATCATTTTTATTCATTTATGTTTTATTGTAATATTTATTTTAAAATGTTATGTTCTTTTTAATAGAATAATTATGTAGAAACATTTTTTATTACAAAACTGGAAATGGGAAAATTTACAGCTATAATGTAACTACATAATATGCAATTATTTTTATATTTGATAGAACTATTATTTATTATTAAT